CTGGGCGGAGGAGGCTCAGGCCTGGGGGGACCCGATGCTGACCTGGGGGGACCCCGGGGGGGATGGAGGAGGATGCAGATGCTGGGGCGGGGAGGCGGCCTGAAGGCGGGCTGCGTGCAGAGCTGCAAACCCGTGCGTGGTCCAGCTCACGGAGCTGCAGTCGCCTTTTTTTTTTTTGATCAGCACAGAGTTGGGAAAAACTTCCTGAATCTGTTGCCGGAATTTTTTAATTGGGAGAGCTTCGAAGAAAACCACCGTTTTCCCCCAGAAAGTGGCTTTGTGCATTTCTGTATAAAATATTTATGTATTTCTCTATATAAAATGTTTCTTTAAGTATAAATACATATATGATGTAGTATTATATATACGTTTAAAATGGGAGACATTCCCCCTGAATTCCCATATGACACAGCTCTTGGCTGGAGCTGGGTGGCTGCCCCCTCGGATGGGGCATGAGTTCTCTTAATTGGCCACAGTTCACACCACTCCCTGTTGTGATCCCCCACGGAGGCGAGGTGTCACTTGACAGTTAACATTTAAAAAAAATATTTTTATTGATTTTAGAGAGAGAGAGGAAGGGAGAGGGAGAAAGAGATAGAAACATCAATGATGAGAAAGAATCACTGCCTCCTGCACACCCCACACTGGGAATCGCCTGCAACTTGGGCATGTGCCCTGACCAGGAATCGAACCTGACCTCGGTTCAGTGGTCCACACTCAACCACCGAACCACACCGGTCGGGTACCATTTATCATATTTTTGATAGTGCTTCCTTTTAGTGAAGTTAGGGGAAAAGTGAAATATGCTTATATTTAGATTTCTATCACACTCAGAAATATATGGATAAAAGCAGGCTGAGGATTTCAAGAAAAAATTAAAAAAATATATATATTTCTTTATTGATTTCAGAGAGGAAGGGAGGAGAGAGAGATAGAAACATCAATGATGAGAGAGAATCATGGATCGGCTGCCTCTTGCACGCCCCCCACTGGGGATCGAGCCCGCAACCCAGGTATGTGCCCTTGGCCGGAATCGAACCTGGGACCCTTCAGTCCGCAGGCTGACGCTCTATCCACTGAGCCAAGCTGGCCAGGGCAGAAAATTTTTTTCTCATGCCCTGACTTGCTTCATTCTTTTATCACCTGCCTGGTGTCCACAGGCATTTACATGTGACCTTGGTTGGACTCAGCGATGAGCTTGACAAACTCAGAGCACATTGAGGAGAATGGGTGGAAGCTGAGGATTTAATGCTGGGGTCTGTGTCGTTTTGTGTTGTTTAGATACATAAATTATGTTTGTACAGATACATGCATTCTCTATGTCTATGTACCTGGAGTTGATCCAGTTTCTCACCCAATACATGACTCCCCTTTAAAACATCCCTGAAGCCATTAGTAAGGTACAGACTTCTTTTTCTTTTTTGTTTTTAATACTAGAGGCCAGGTGCACGAAAGTCATGCACTGGGTTGGGGGGGGGCGGGTGTCCCTCAGCCCAGCCTGCGCCCTCTTGCAGTCCGGGACCCCTTGTTTCTTACCGCCCGCCTGCTCCCTGCTCCTTAGCGCTGTCATGGAGGTGGGAGAGGCTCCTGCCACTGCCCCTGCGCTCGCCAGCCTCCGTGAGCCCTGCTTCTGGCTGAGCAGTGCTCCCCCTGTGGGAGCGCACTGACCACCAGGGGCAGCTCCTGCATTGAGTGTCTGCCCCCTGGTAGTCAGTAAGCATCATAGTGACTAGTAGTTCCACCGTAACGGTCACTTAGGCTTTTATTATATAGATATTTTTACTGATTTCAGAGAGGAAGGGAGAGGGAGAGTAAGACAGAAACATCAATGATGAGAGAGAATCATTGATCGGCCGCCTCCTGCACACCCCAAACTGGGGATCGAGCCCGCAACCTGGGCATGTGCCCTTGACCGGAATTGAACCTGGGACCCTTCAGTCCGCAGTCCGATGCTCTGTCCACTTTGCCAAACCAGCTAGGGCCAGACTTTTTTAAAGGCAAAATTTTTCACAGATCTTCAGTGTTCACTTAAATGAGTTTGATGATGTCACTCAAAAATGTTCAAACATAAACCTGTATGTAATGTTCTTTGCTTATAGCTGTGATACAACCATAGACAGGATTCAGGACTTGATCCTAAGAACAATGGAGAGTCATTGAACCAGGGGAGCTTTGCATTTTCAAAGAATGCCTCCAGCTCCAGAATGGTGGATAGAACAGAGGAGCAGGTGGCAGAGAAACTGGAGGTTGTGATACTATTCTAGGAGATGTGCCAGTGGCATTGACTGGGTGGTAGCAACAGGGAGGCAGAGGGGTGAACAGATTGGTACTTAGGAGGTTGAAAGGACAGCCTTAGTGAATTTACGAGGCGGGTGAGGGAGAGGGAGGACTTGAGGATGAGCCCAGCTTTCAGACTTGAGCCATTTTAGGGTCTCCTCCATTAAGAGGGGGAGCACTGGCAGGAGCAAGGTGGGAGCAGACTCCTCAGTGTCAAGAGGTGCTGAGATTGATGCCCGGCCAGTGTGGCTCAGTGGTTGAACATCGACCCATGAGCCAGAAGGTCACGGTTCGATTCCCAGTCAAGGCACATGCCTGGATTGCTGGCTCGGTTCCCAGTGGGGGGTGTGCAGGAGGCAGCTGATCAGTGATTCTCTCTCATCATTGATGTTTCTCTCTCTCTCTCTCTCTCTCTTTTTCTTTCTCTCCCTTCCTCTCTGAAACCAATAAAAAAAGAGAGAGATGCTGAGTTTGAGGTGCCTATGAGGCGTGTGAGTATTGATGGTCCAGTTAAGTGGTCCTGGAGCTCAGGAGGGAAGTCCTGGCTGGTGATATAAACGTGCGAATATTTGGTGTGTAGCTGCAAGAGTAGCTTCAGTTGCTGGGGAAGAATTTCTAGGACAGATCTTGCAAATTGGTGGCCTAAATACTAATTTGGCCGCCTGACATGTTTTTAATTTGGTTGGGATGTCCAAATGTGTGTGTGCATGTGCGTGTGTGTGTGTGTGTGTGTGTGTGTGTTTTGTTTTTGTTTTGTTTTTTTCTTTCAAAATTAGGGCCAACAATGAATATTGAGATTTTACATTAAAATATGGACTCTGGCCCGGCTAGTGTGGCTCAGTGATTGAGTATCTACCTATAAACCAGGAGGTCTCAGTTCAGTTCCCAGCGAGGGCACATACCCAGGTTGTGGGTTTAGTCCCCGGTGGGGAGACGTGCAGGAGGCAGCCGATCAATGATTCTCTCTCATCATTGGTGTTTCTATCTCTCCTCCCTTACTCTTTGAAATCAATAAAAAAGAAAGAAAGAAAGAAAGAAGCAACATGCAAAAAAAGATATGGACTTTGGCCTCTTGAAAAATGAGATTTACCTAACAACACTCATCCTGCATTTCTGCAAGGCAGCAGTTACCTGGAGCCGAATAGTGGCTGCCACTATTAGATAGGGCATGCATGAGTTCTTCACTTTGCCGCAGTCCCCACCACTCCCTATGGTGTTCCTCACAGGGATTCCGGCCCACTTCGCTTGGTTATCTTCCATACTTGGCACCTATAGGCATTTGAGTTCATGACCCCTGCTTTAGAATGAGATGCAAAGAGGGCCTAGGAGGAGCCCAAGGAGCTCCACCATTTAAAGGGGATGAGGAGGAGGCGCCAGCAAAGAAGACTGAAGAGCCACTAGACAGAAAAGCAAGGAGGGTGATTGCTAAGAGGAGAGAATGTCAACAAGCCCAGCCCAGTGCTGCTGACTTGATCTAACATGATAAGGACATGTCCTTTGGTCTACTAGTCACGTAGAGGTCACCGGTAACCTTGGTGAGAGCCACTACATTGGCTGCGAGGGAGGTTGTAAGGCATTGAGGAATGAATGGGAAAAAAATGGAGACAGGCTTGGGAACTTGTTCCAGAAGTTCAGCTTTGAAGGACAACTTGTAGTATTGAGAAACCACAGGATAAACTCGGCACGTCAACCCGGAGCGTTAATTAGGCTTGAATATTTGTAAAAAACATTATTTTTAGATTAAAAATAGACCGAGGAGACTACAAAGACGGTTTGGGCTAAGAATTGAACATTATCTTTTTGCTAGGCAGTGTACTGATCCCTTTACATTCCTTATCTCATGTAGTCCTCACGACCCTATGGAATACGTTCTAGAATGTTCTTTATTTTGCAGACGAGCAAGTTAAGGCTTGAGAGGTAAGGTTGCATGGCCTGCAAGTGGTAGAGCTGGGGTTTGAATCTGGCTATCACACTGAATGTCTATATATTAACTACTTTAGAAGCATTTGTTGAAGACACTTTCCTTTCCCTATTGAATTGCTATGATACTTTTTGTCAAAAATCAACTGGCCATATATGTGTGAGTCTATTTTTGGACTCTCTCTTCTGTTCTGTTGATCTCTATATCTTTTTCACAATAGTGCACTGCCTAGATTACTGTAGCTTTATAGTGAGTCTGGAAATGAAACAACTCGAGGTCTCCAACTTTGCTCTTTTAAAAAATTGCTTAGGCTATTCTAGGTTGTTTGCACATCCATACGTTTTAGAATTATCTTGTCAATTTCTGTAGCAAGGCCTGCTGGGATTTTGTTGGGGATTGTGTTGACTATTAGGATACTTTTTCAAAAAGGCGTTAGTGAGGGTTTGATCTCATTTTATAGACCATGAAGGAAATGTCACTGAAGTGTGACTGTAGTCTAAAGGTGGCTGACTCTAGTTACAGGGTAAGGCCGGTGAAGGAAATGAGTGGAGGGAGCAGGAATGACATGATAAATAGTAGCTGATCTCAGGCTGCAGGAGGAATAATAGGGAACAATGAGGAGGGGCGGTCACTTCTCTGCTCCATGCATTTGCCTTGTAAGAATATGGGTTCAGTATTGTCTGATCTCAGTGAGGAGAAGCTGGAAATCCAGGCTTTTATGCAGTCTTCCAATTTTTAAAATTAAAATTTTATTTTTTTAAAATTATTTTTTAAATCCTCACCTGAGGATATTTTTCCATGGATTTTTAGAGAGAGTAGAAGACAGGGGAGAGACAGAGAGAAAGATCCATGTGAGAGAAACACATCGATTGGTTGCCTCCTGCAAGTGCCCTGACCAGGGCTCTGGCCAGGGAGGAGCCTGCAACCGAGGTACATGCCCTTGACCGGAATGGAACCTGGGACCCTTCGGTCCACAGGCTGACGCTGTATCCACTGAGCTAAACCGGCTCGGGCAAAAATTAAAACGTTGAACTTTGAGTGGTTCAAAGTCATGTGGGTCAAACAGAACTCTCTAGGCCTGCTAGTCCGTGACCTCTGCTTCAGACTAATCATTCTTTGGTTCTCATTTGCATCATCGGTGAGCTGTCAGGACAGTGTCTCAGACAGTCTCTAAGGTTCTTTCTGGTTCAATGGTTCTACCTCTCAAAAGAGGAAAATACCAAAATTGCTCAAGGGTGCAGGGGTAGTTGAGAATATCTGCAATAATGATATCTTGGGAAGCTGCCCAGAGCTTTACATTTTGCATACCACTGTCATGCCTCTTCTTTCTTTTAATCCTCACAGTGTCTCTGTGAAATAGACAGCAGAGTAATTGGCCCAGCCGCATGGTAGCTCCAGGTTACAGTCAGGTCCTCTCATTCCAAGTCCAGAGCCCTTTCCAGCCTAGTGCAGCGGCCTCTGAAGGCCCTAGAAATAGGCGCTTTGGGAGGGAGAGCAGATGAGGGAGACTGTGAGCCCGTCTTCAGCTCAGCAGGCGGCAGAGGTCTAGCTAGATGTTAACTTAGCTTGGTTGAAGCGTCAAGGCTTTGGGGTCAGAGTGGAAGCCTTTGTGAGAACTCTCTGAAGGCAGGCACTTTGGTACATAGTCAGATTCATAGGCCAGTGCCTGGCACAGCACCTGACACACGGCGTGGCTCAGTGGTTGAGCATCGACCTATGAACCAGGAGACCATGGTTCGATTCCCCATCAGGGCACATGCCCGGGTTGCAGGCTCGATTCCCAGTGGGGGATGTGCAGGAGGCAGTCAGTCCATGATTCTTTCTCATCATTGATGTTTCTCTCTCTCTCTGAAATCAATAAAAATATATATTTAAACACACACACACACACACACACACATATATTTTATTGATTTCAGGGAGGAAGAGAGAGATAAAAACATCAATGATGAGAGAGAATCATTGATTGGCTGACTTCTGCACGTCTCCTATTGGGGATCAAACTCGCAACCCGGGCATGTGCCCTTGACTGGAATCGAACCTGGGACCCTTCAGTCCGCTGGCAGACACTTTATCCACTGAGCCAAACCAGCTAAGGCAAAATATATATATTTTTAAAAAGTTTGTATGTAAGTGAACAAATGGATGGATTGATGGAAGAAGGAATCAAAGGCTCTAGATCAAGAAGGGTGAGAATTCTGTCTAGAGAATTTCAAGGACAGAGCAGTCAAATGCTTCTGGTAAGAACTTTGAGGATGTTAAGATCAAAAGCTGAGACTTTATTCTTATAACTCAGCTGATCGATGGGAAAGCTCACCATGTCCTCTTCCTCTCATTTGACTCTCAGATCTGGGTTTTGATTAATAGGTCATAACCATCTCCCAGGGAAGTATGTTTGAGAAATAAAATTCTGTAGGTCAAACAGAACTTAAGGAAAGTCAGCCTGCCAAAGGGTTTAAAACTTCCAAATAGATACAAGTCCTTATCTTTTGGAGAGGCCTGTTGAAATATGGAATATGATTCCCGGGGTTTCTCTTAGTAGACTGCTGTGGGCAGTGGAGGAGGTAAAGATGGATCAAGATTAGATATAAGTTGGGAACATTTTGAAGCTGGAAGATGGCTAGATGGGATTTCATCATGCTTATGTCTATTTTGCCTATATTTGAAACTTTTCATAATAAATGGAAAAACAAAAAAACCAGAGGGCTTTATGGGCTCAGCAATGCTTTTGGTTAACCAAACTTCACTTTTCTCTAAGCTTGTAAGCGGTATGGTCATTGAGAGAGAAATGAAAAAAAAAAAAAAAAAAAAAAAAAAAAAAAAGAAAAGAAAAGAATTTGGCAGAAATAAGAAAGAATATGGATTGCCCTAGCCCCGTGGTCGGCAAACTGCGGCTCTCGAGCCACATGCAGCTCTTTGGCCCCTTGAGTGTGGCTCTTCCTAAGCCTTAGGAGTACCCTAATTAAGTTAATAACAGTGTACCTACCTATATAGTTTAAGTTTAAAAAATTTGGCTCTCAAAAGAAATTTCAATTGTTGTACTGTTGATATTTGGCTCTGTTGACTAATGAGTTTGCTGACCACTGCCCTAGCCGGTTTGGCTCACTGGATAGAGTGTCGGCCTGCATACTGAAGGGTCCTGAGTTCGATTCCCATCAGGGGCACATGCCTGGGTTGTGGGCTCGGTCCTCAGTGGGGGGCGTGCAGAAGGCAGCCGGTCGGTGATTCTCTCTCATCGATGTTTCTGTCTCTCTCTTCCTCTCCCTTCCTCCCTGAAATCAATAAAAATATATTAAAAAAGAAAAGAAAAGAAAGAATAGGGTTTTTAGTTAGACCTCCATAGGTCGGCTTCCTATAGCTTTATGACCTTGCATAAGCCTCTGAACTTCCCTAAGTCTGGGTCTCCAGGTCTAAACGCAGCCTCCCTGGGTGGTGGCGGCGAGGGTTAGAGATGAAGTGGGCAGTGGGGACTCAGATCTGGTAGTTTTTTTAATTAGACAAAGAGAAAGAGTAATGAAAGGGTCAGAATCTGTCTCGGGACTCCCATCTACCCTTTCCTCCCAACATGAATCATAAGTGCCAAGGGTTATATAACCGCAGAGGTCATTTATTATTTTAGAAAGAGAACTCTTAAAAACCAAATTGGACCACTTTGGGGTTTACAAGAACTGTAACCAGTTTATTGGCTTTTGAAAAACGAAGCAAGGGAGAGCTGGCAGGAGAAAGGCATGTCGAAACTGGAATGCCATCTTGTACCTGTTCAGTCAGCCTTCTTTCTTACCCCAATTCACGGTCTTATCCAATGTTGGTGAGGTTTTTGGTGAACCCGTTCCCTCATATGTACATGGGTATACCCTTTGGGAAAACATTTTGGCACTATGTGTTGAGAGGCATTAAAAGGCCCATACCCAGAGACACTTAGTAATCACTCTTTGGAATGTGTCCTATGGAAATGAATCAGAAGAAGTGTTATGTTGCCATGAAATAGGATTATGTAATCTAGAAAAGGCTTAAGAGTGTACCTGTGTTATGATTACAACTCTGCAGTCTTTACACATAAAGGTGAACGACTGGAGAAGAACATGGAGACGGGAGGACAGCTAATGTCGCAGACTCCTAGACAGTGGCTTAGTTTTTCTTCACGAAATTCCCTGCCCTAGCTGGTTTGGCTCAGTGGATAGAGTGTCGGCCTGTGGACTAAAGGGTCCCAGGTTCGATTCCGGCCAAGGGCACATGCCCAAGTTGCGGGCTCAATCCCCAGTAGGGGGTGTGCAGGAGGCAGCCGATCAATGATTCTCTCTCATCATTGATGTTTCTATCTCTCTCCCTCTCTCTGAAATCAATAAATTAAAAAAAAAAAGAAATTCCTTGTCACTGTTAAAGATTGTGCCTGTTTGCCTACACATATACACTTAAAGGTCTTGTAAGAGGACTGTCATGGCACCCAGGACATGTGGAACATGGGTAAATTCTTTCCAAAAATAGAGAAATAAAAAACCACAAAGCACCGGAAACCTAACAGCTTTGAGTAGAGAAGAAATTGAAACCAAGACTTCCCACTCTTGAACCATTTCTCTACAAAACACCACACTGGGGTGCTTTCTTGAGACCTTTGCTGTCAGGTCTCAAAGTTGGGGTTTTTTCTCTCTATTTTTTGTGTGTGTGTGTCTGAAAGTTTTTGAAATCTCTTTGTTTCCAGGTTCAGTTTCAGAAGCTTCAGCAACTGCGCCTGACACAGTACCATGGCGGGTCCTTACCCAACGTGAGCCAGCTGCGGAGCAGCGCATCGGAGTTCCAGGTACCCCGGATATTTGCTTCTTCAGGCCGCGTGGACTGTAAAAAGATAGGCAGAGATTATCCTTAATAAGATTAGATCTTGAAGGGTAAACCTGTCCTAGATCTAGTTCAGTGTTTTTCTGGGAAGTCCATCATTATTCTCTTCCCTAGTTCCTGCAGCATAACAGTGTTTGATTTCACAAATGGCCTAAGGCAGTACTGTTTAGTGGAAATACAAGTCGAGCCATATATGTGATTTAAGTTTTTTCAGTAGCCACATTAAAAAAACAACAAGTGGATTAAAATTTATTTAAATTATTTAAATAACTAGAGGCCTGGTGCATGAATTTGTGCACAGGTGGGGTCCCTTGGCCTGGCCTGTGATCAGGGACCATCAGGACAGTCTTACCCAGTCCCCGATCAGAGCTGATTGGGCCGGCCAGCCGGTGGCGGGGAAGGACCGCGGGAGGTTGGCTGGCTGTGGGAGTGCACTAACCAAAATATTATCATTTCAACATATAGTCAATATAAAAAAGCGTCTGCCCCTGGTGGTCAGTGTGTGACATAGCTACCAGCCGGTCGTCTGGTTATCCGGTCATAACAGTCACTTAGGCTTTTACATACATAGATTATTTAACACAATATATTCAAAATATTATCATTTCAACATATAGTCAATATAAAAACATTAATGAAATATTTCACATTTTCTATTTTTCCTGTTAAGTCTTTGAAATCTAGTGTGTATTTTATTTATTATTATTATTTTAAAAAATATTTTTAATTGATTTCAGAGAGGAAGGGAGAGAGAGAGAGATGGAAACATCAATGATGA